TTCCTCTTTCTTCAACAATAATGCACTTGCCTTGGGGCGATGTAGAACTTGGTAGAACATTTCCAGTTCAATATGCTTTCAGCACAAAGTATGTTGAGAAGGCTTTACAAATTTGACATGCTTCCTTCAGAACACCACCAGCAGCCTTTAAGCCAGCCCTTGTAACTAAATTTTGTTAGCAAACATAATTTCCGTAGTAGGTAAGAAGTCACTTGTCTAGAACTTGTCATCCTTCTCACTGCTACTTTTCAAGCTGCCTTTCTGCAAGTTTTATTTTTTTATATATGCACACACTGCAGTCAGTCAAACCACTTTGAACAAGCTCCCTGGGGTATTGGTACAGAATTCCAGGATGGCTATTTTGCCTCACTTGCAGTGTCCTTCCTATTACAACAAGTCCTATAAAATCAGAGAAAGCTGTTCATGCTAAATTACAGCAGCATTAACGTGCCATGTTAACATAAGAACACACGTTTATGTTCAAACTTCTCACACAAAATCCCCCCACCGAAATTTAAAGCACTTACACAGGAGGTCAGGACTGTGAGCTGGTTGACCACTATAGCTAAGTACAACCACATCAAATTTCCTTGGGTAACATAAAGGTGTTTTCATTCACCAGACTTTGCAAAGTGAAAAGTATCCAGAGTAATCATTATTTGTTTCTCATACATGGCAATACAGGGAAGAGCTACTGTTTATATCGTAGAGGGCACGGAAATCCAGTCTACCTCAAAATACACACTTTAGACCTTAAATGCAGTCATACTTTAAATACCTGCAAACAATATTTGCAGTCTTTGCTTCCTCAGTACTTGCCAAAAATAAGAAAGCTGACTAGCACAAAATCTTGAGCCATTCAAGACACTCAGAACAGTTCAAAATTGTACAAGAAATAAGTACTAATTTAGGCTGCATCATGTTGTGCTATCAGTGCCACAGTACAGCTAGCTTAGCTCAGCCACTACTAGCAGAGCACCCTGTTCAAACTTACTGGAGTCCCTATCATGTTCTCCAGCATATAAGGAGGTTGTAAGATACAGGAAAATGTAGTTTCACTGTAAAGATGCTACATCAAAGCATATCTTTGTCATCAGGATAAGCAGGACCTGACTGGCCTCAGATAAAATCAGGTTAATCACCCACTTGCCTATGTTTTCATCCTGTGCACCCTTTCCTCATTACTTTTTTTCACAGTCATAAGAAAGGCTGAAGAAATTTTAACATGTTAAGGTTCTGATTTCTAGCCTTTTTCTTGGGGAAAAAAAAAAAGGCAGCATATAAGAAAGTAGAAGTATCAAGGCTGAATATTTATCTCCATCAGGAAAAGTAAAAATTTCAGCCTGACTCAGGGCAGCACATTTTCTTTTAATTCAGACACCAGTTTCCACCAGATACAGATCAACATTCATGACTCTTGTACATTATTTCTTCCTCTACTAGCTCCCCCAGAGTTTAGCCATCTAGCTAAAATCATGCTTTTTCAGTATAGATGCTCTTGCAAAAATGCTCTTTTCAGTATAGAACTCTTGCAAACAGCAAGAGTTCCCACAGGCATTTCATTTTCAGGGACACAATTAGCCTGAATACCATCAGTCTTTATCAAAAATAGTATTGCCATAGGTCAACTCTACCAAATATGTAGGAGTGTTAGTGTAGTCTTCTAATGTCCCATACTCTTTTGTTTTCATTCCTCCAGAACAAGGAATGGCCTCTTCCCCAGAAAACCTCCCACATTCAGAGATTTATTTAATTCCCATAAGACTGCACAACCCCTGTGTGATATCCTGTGCTAACACAATGTTCTGCTTTACCTTTCAGCACTGGGAAAGGCCAGAGGCAAATGTAATAGCAAAAACCTTCGTGTTTCAGGTGGACTTGTCATTGCAAGACACCTCAAACCACACTAATAGAGTAACCTTTCTCCTCCCAGCTCACACAAAGCACGGGATCATCAGTAAAGCAAGCAGCTGTGACCTCTTCTGCCTAAAGGTGTCCTGACCAATGGCATTCAGCACACATCTGGTCACAGAGGAGTGACTGCTGGAAACAATGATCTTCTAGATTTGCCTAGATTTAGACAAGGTTGTCTCCTGTTAAGGTATGGGCTACATGATCACTCTAGACTGTTATCTACCGTAATGCAAAAGGTACATCACTCCTTCCTTCCTTGAACAGTCAGCTGAAAGCATCAGCAGCTACACCTAAGACAGCACTGGTAGCAGGGGCAGCAGGAGCTCTCACAATTGTAGCTATCACAAGACACAACTTCAGAAAGAGACCATTCATTTTAAAGCCTTTTTCCGTCCAAATAAAAGTTCTTTTTCCCATTTAACTAAATAAAAGAAAAATCAGGAGTGATGTGAGAGAAATTCAACTATACTCTGTAGTATAATAGCAACTTACCCATCCAGTTAACAGTGTTGTACTAATGTGTAACAGCACAGGATGTTGAAAGGCATGGTCACCTCTAGAGCTGAGAGCTGGACTGCCAGCAAATCTAGCTGTAAACCTGCCTTTACACCATTATTTCACTGAGTGAGTAGCCCAGACGTTTGTATTATCATGTTATCAATACAAAGTTTCCAAATCATCAATTACTTTCCCCTCCTGCCTAATCAGTACTTTGTACATCTCATACCTAAAGAGATTATGTTTCCCTCTGTAAATGCCTTTTCACGGCCTCTCAAGAGACATAACAATCACTGCAGAAACTTGCCACAAAGGGCAATCAGTGCTGGTTCCTCCTTCCTGCTGCCACCTTAGCACACTTAGTTCCTGACATCCAATATGATTTATTGGCTTGTTCTTTAAAACACCCCGATTTCAGGTTATTGGTCCATACACAGGGCACTCCACGTGACCTTTCAAAACCAGGAGTCAGATCACAAATACAGATGCACAGGATGAACCTCGTGAGGCTGCAAACCATCTGCTTGTGCCAAGTCAGGGGGTTGGTATAAGGGCAGCATTTCTGCAGAACACATGCCCACCCTCCAGCCATGGTGACAGCCTCACAGGCCATTCTCCACAGAGGCCAGGCTGACCCAGCAGGAGCTGTTAGAGGTCTGATGCCTGATGCCATGAAATAGTATCTTCAAATTACAGCAGCAGCCACTCATGCTATGGGTAACTATAAAATTTCCACTTAATGCATGTTAATAGGATTATTATTTTAAAGTCATGCTCACTGCCCCCACATTAATAACAAATGAGCTCTCTCTAATTGTTATTAGAGTAACTCCCATACAAATTAATGATTAGGCCATTAAGACTACGCAGTTGAATTGCCATTAATTCTCATATCAGCTAATAAAGTGACAATAAAAAAAAAAGGAAATTCCTTTAAGCATTACTGAATTCCATCACTCGTACCAAAGGCATACAAGAAAGGTCTGTCAAGCGCTTTTTACTTTTATTAAATGTTAAGCTGAAATTATTCATCATAATCTGGAAAAAAATGACTACAAAAAGCTGCATGTGTAAGTTTCATGTATTTGTAGGCAGTGCTAAAGTGCAATCTTTTAACCACTGCTCATAGGGTAGAGTGTAACACAGTTATCAGAATAACTCTGTTTTAGAAATAGTTCTTCTACATGCAACAGCACCAAATAACAGCTGTCACGTGATAATCACCACAGGATTTTCTACATGTCTAGGACTTTTAAATCAACACAAACTACATTTTTCAAAGGGATGTCACCTAATCACTGTTTATAATATATTGAGACTATACCACTGCACTTTTAGAAATAGAGGTGTTGAGTTTCTAAAACTGCACGAATGCATTATAAAAAAGGTAGAAAATTTCTTCCTTGCTAGGCATCACACACACCTTTCTGGCACATTTAACAATTATTTACACATTCTGTAGTCATTCAGTAATTCAAAAAAACCCCAAACAGCTCACAGGCTGTATATCTGACCTTTTTGCTCCTCATACGTACTTTGGACTGAGCTTTCCTACACTCCTAATCACAGACATTTGAAAAAGTAATGCACTTATAGATACGGCAGACCCTTCCTTCCACCTCCTTCAACCCATTTCTTTCTAACCTCACTTTTAGATCATAATTTTTGTATTCTGAATGTAGTTGCTAATGTTACCAAACACACCCTATTATCTTTACATTTCTACATTACGAAAATTAGAATTTGCCAGAAATATGCAAGTTGCACTGCAGAAACCCATATCCATTAGTTTTCCAGGCAGAATACCCATGAACTAGAACATATAAAAGATGCATAGCTCTGGGTATGATTACGAGGCGCTTTGGTGCGGAAGGAGTAAAGATCTCCCTGGCATTAACTCAAATGATCATATTGCTTGCAGTAGCATAACTACATCATTTGATATTAATACCCTTAATGCTGGTATTAAAATCACCCAACTGATGTAATTGGAAGTGTTCAGTACCTCCTTCTAGAATGATAAGTAGCAGTGGTCAACATTTTCTACTTATTTTCAAAAAGATATGTTTCCATGTGGATTATCCAGTAGGGCAATTTCAGTTTAGCACACTATACAAATGCATGCAAAACCACAGCCAAATGAGTAAATCAGTGAACTATATGCATGGTTTATTAGACCTGGCATACTCATCAGCTTGCAAGACCAAGAATTAAACATGCAGACCAGCTCCTTATCTAGTCACCGCATCAGTAGAATAATAGACATGCTTTATAGACTCCATCCAGGTACAAAAAAATAGCAGAAAAATCCCTCTCACAATAATAAACGTAAATATATAAATGTCTTATTTGTGTGACACACTGGAATACATCCAAACCACACAGTGGCAACTGTGGTTTAGTCCGTTTACTCACATGTTTAATGAAGGCACTTTAGAAGACTGTCCAACTTATCTAAACTACTTGAGGGCTAAAGGTGAGTGCTACTTGCTTAGTAGCACTTAGGTTTAGTTCTAATTGCTATTTTAAAATTTTATTTCTTCCCTTTCTGGAGGGCATTGGCTGAAATACACTGTGAGCATCTTACCCTTTTAGCCACAGCTACAAGTGTCTTCTGCTATTCCTCATGATCCGAGCAAGGCAAGCTTGGGAGCTCTGGTCCAAGTACGACTCAAACCTGCAATCAAGTCAAAACAGCACCTCTTTACCACTGGAAAGAAGCAAGAGTCATGATCACGTTAAATGTATCACATTGATAGTTGTAAAACACTTTACTGCTTTCCAATGCACTATAGTGGAAAAGCCAATAAACATCAACACGGCATTTGGAAAGTGCCAGACAGTACAGAGCTTCAGCCACAGCTCCTAGCTACACTACCTTCAATGAAGATGCTTAGGCTACAGTAAATATCTACTCAGCCATCTCCCATCCCTCAGACAGGAGACTACTGCAACCTGCCCCACCACAAGACAAACCACAGCACGGACTGCAGGAGAACTCTGTTCAAATACGGGAAAAGGCCACGCCTCACCTCGGCCCTGCCCTCTCCCACAGGGACAACTCAGCAGGAGCCTCGAGGCAGCTGATACTCCTCTAGCCCCCCACCAGAGGTAAGTTTGCAATAGTTACAGAACAGTTTCCCACCTCACGTCTGTGGCCAGTGTGGGGACACGGGCCCCTGAGGGCGCAACAGCCACACAGCTCCCCTGGGACAACAGTGCGGCCGCTGTGGTGCGGCCCAGGGCAGGAAAACCCCAAGCCCCGGAGGGACTGGACAGCGAGGCCCAAAAGAGCCCCGTAGGGCGCGAGGCCTGGAGCCCTTTGCCTCAGGGAGTGGGAAGGCGGGGAGGCTCCTCCCGGCCGGACAGACACACGGACACACGGACACACAGACACACGGGACAGGGCGGGCCGCGGCCCCGGTGCCCTCGCAGCGCCTCACGGCCCAGCCCCGCCCCACGGAGGGATTTACGGCAGAAAACCAATGCAGAAGTCGTTGTCTGCCATGTTTTTAAAAACAGTTCCCTCAGTTAAGGAGCATGGCTTTTACTGTGCTAACATACGGTATGATTATTTTAAACTGAGGCAGAAACTCTCAGGGATAGGAGCCGGACTTCATATGCCTCACTTCTGAATCGCTTGTCTTCACACTGCAATTCTACTGGAGTATTTCAGCTTCCTTGTAGTAAGTTCCATGTAATGCAAAACAATTTTCTTTAACTTTTCTTAGTAGGAATCTTACGTGCTTGAAAAGGACATGTCTAAGACCTTGTTTTAATCACTTACACGTGAAAGTTCAAGGAAAAATACGTTAAAGTAGCATGGCCTTAGTAGTGATTTTCCATAATTGATTCATGGGAGGAGATCTTAATACAACATTCTAATTTGGAAAAACTTGTCTTAAGGGCCAGGAAAATTGTTGGTGTCTGGCAGTTATCAATAATCAAGGCAAATTTGTACTTGAACTGTCAAAATCAAATCAGCTTCACAGCCAAATGGTTATCTGTGGCAAGAAAAGGCAAACTGCTGCTGAAGCAGCTTTTTTTTTCTGTTTTCTCTGGGCTTTGGCTTTTACTTGCAGAAATCTTGGCCAACTTTTAAGCCTTTCAATAGAGATTGGTTGGAATTTGGGATGTGTTCAGTGCTCTCAAATTGAATACAGTAAAACTCCTTACATATATTTTTCCCTTAACTGCTCATTAAACATTGGGTGTTTGCACTCAGGGTAAATAAGATGTGATTTGATTGGCACCTCTATATGCAAATATAGTAGAAGTATTAGCAAATTATTTTTCTTGACCAGAAATAAAAATTAAAAATAAATTTTAAAAATATGCAAGAAGCTGACATCTTAAGGAATGGTAAAATTGAAAAACAGGGAGATGGAATTTTTCTGAACTTCAGAGTAGAACATGAAATGTTAGCTGCATTTAATGTGAGAACTGAATTAAAGTCTGGTCTGCTCTTGCATCGAATCAATCTTAGTTGCTGCACTCTTCTGGAATTTTTCAAAGATTAGAATTTTCAAGTTGTCTTAAATGGTATTCCTTATGCGCCTTTGTAACACTGGTGAGAAAAGGAGATGATGCTTGGAAAAGGAGTGTTCAGGAAGTTCATTTACAGCAGTGGTAACTAAGCCTTTGCCAGTACCAGAGTAAATGAATTCTGTTAAACTGGCTTGTAGTGTTCTGTACTATAAAATTCATACCTTTATTCTAAGTGTACGAGCAAATGTCTTGTCTGAGACAGATGTTTCTGTAAAGTGAGCTTTTCTGAGAAACAAGGGAAAGCATGATTGGGGAGTAAAAGGTCAGCTGTAAAGGGTTCTCAGTGCCAGGAATGGGATATTGATTTTTTTCTTATCTATGTAAAATCATTCCTAATGTGTTCTCTCCAACCACTGACAAGGCTTATTCTAATCACTGTCTGAAGAAAATGAATAAGAGGCAATGAAAAATCTGCAATATGGAAAAAAGATTCTTCCTTTTGGAAAGAAAAGGTTTTGATTATGATTCAAGGTGTTTTTACTGACTGACTCTTCAAGGTGTGATTTCTAATTACTTCAATTATCTCATCAGTATTATAAAGCTGGAACTATTTCAATCATGTGTATAACTGATAAAATTAATTTCCAAGATTCATTATTAAGCTTATATCCAGTAATATAAGGTAGTTCTTTTGTAGCTATTGTATGTAGTAATTTTTTTACCTTACACTTCATTGACTCCATATGAAACACTGACAACACAAGCTTATCAGATGAAGAAATCTGTTTGGGCTTTTTTTAAAAAACTGTGTGCTTTATGGCCTTTTAAGGTCATAATTTTCCCATTCTCATTTCACTACCACAGTGCTACCATTCACCTAGTGGCTCCTGACCCAAACAAGCACTGTTTGTTCTTTGACTTTGCAGCTATTTGATTTAATTATGAAAAAAAAAAGCTACAGACAGGATTGATGTTTTATATAATTGAGACTATTACATTCATATTGAAGATTCTGCAGAAGAACATAGACCATTTATGTGGACAATTAAAGGATTCATTATGATCACTGACACTTCCATGAAAAGCAGCCAGTTTGACAGAACAGAATCCCAGAATATGCCAAGTTGGAAGGGACCCACAGGGACCATCAGGTCCAACTCCTGGCCCTGCACAGAACCATCCCTCGGAGTCACCCCTTGTGCCTCAGAGTATCATCCAAACACTCCTGGAGCTCTGGCAGCCTTGGGGCTGTGCCCACTGCCCTGGGGAGCCTGGTCAGTGCCCAACCACCCTCTGGGGGAAGAACCTTTTCCTGAGATCCAACCTGACCCTGCCCTGACACAACTCCAGGCCATTCCCTGGGTCCTGTCCCTGGTCACCACAGAGCAGAGCTCAGGGCCTGCCCCTCCTCAGGCCTGGGCTGCAAGAGTAATTATTGGGCTTTTGCTAAATGTGAATAGATCTCAAGTACTCTGAGGAGGAAAAACATGAATCTTTGTTTTAATGGAATCCAGTGTGTGCCTGGAAGCTGTCAGAGTCCTGATGAATTATGTTTGCAAGAAGAGTAAGTGATTCACTGCCAATGCATTACAGAATGTTATATTGATTTTACTGCTGGCATATAGAATCTATACAGCTTCTCAGTGGGGATGGAAATCTACATTGCAAATGAAGTTTTAATAACTGCTATGTAGCTATTACAAGTGAATTAGAAAGATTTTAATTCTCAACTAACTCCTGCTTTCTCCATGGCTAGGTCCATGCTGTCTAGTACTCCAAAACACCAATTAATGTTTTCCCTTTATTACTGTTGGTGCATATTCATTATAAATTTGCCAAATATTTCTTAAAATTATTTTTTATGAATACCTGTGGCTTTGGGAAGGAAAGAAATCTGAAATTACTAGATAAATCAAAAGCACATAGTTAAATATCCACCCTAAGATGATGTTTTCTAATGACCATAAAACTTGAACAAACAATGCTTCTCTACATTTTTGTAACCATGTTGACGTATCTGTGGCTTTTTGAAACAATCAGATACAGCCTTACTGCTAATTATTGGTTTCACAGCACAAAAGTGGTCCTTTAACAGAGAAGAATAACTTCATTTTTTGTTTTTAAAGAGAAGAGGGTTTGTTTTGTTTACTTGTGGAGACCCTTTCAACTGTAGGGAAAACGTTTTGCTTTAATAAATACTGATAAAGAGGAGCAGTTAGGAATGGGACTAGGTTTTTATGTTAGGGAAAGAACTTGTGTTCACCCCTAGCTAAAACCAAACCAATTTTTTGCAGACATTGGTTCCCTTTTGTGCTCTGTTGCAGACTTTCTTTGTCATTAGGAGCATCTTCTCAGCTCTACATGATTCCTTGATGTATTACAGGAAGATGTTGTTCTGCAGCACTTACTGAGAGTAATGTGGGGTTTGTTCTTTCAGATTTCAGCTGGGCTGAACTGAAGTTCTGCTGCAGCAGCAGCCCTCCTTTTCCAGGAGCACCATGCAACAAGGTTCCTGGTGTTAAAAACAGAAATGGAAAAAAATGGACAGAAAAAAATACACAAGTGATTGATGGAACATAAATGGGTATTGGGTCTGTTAGACATCCCTCCACTGCAAGAGCTGCAGAATCTTGCTGCTGACATGGACCAGGAGGGTTTTCATCTGAGTCACCTCAGTATGTGATATGAATGATGAGCAAGTGAATAATCATAAACATGAACCAACTTGAGGATGCCAATAAGACCCAAGGACCACTTCTTCCTAACGTTTGCAGGGTAGAACCTTGTGTGCCTTTGTAAATGCACATTTTTCTATATCTATTTTAATACTAGATAAACTTTATTCCAGTGAATGTAACTATTATGCTTCATAGTGTGCATGCTACGAAGAGTAATGCCAGAGGATTACTTTTTTTTAAGTTAATGTCAAATCCATTACCTGCCAGTTTCTCTTCCTGCTTTGTCACTCTTTTATAACAGAAGTCCTCTAATTGTGTGTGTTTATAGACTGAATCTTTAAGTCAATAAATGTTTTTATTGACTTGTAGGGAGCTCAATATTTGGATAACATTAAAGTGGCTGGCTTATGGGAGAGCTCTGAGAAGTGACTGAGCCCTATAAAATGGGTAGATAAATGTTTGCAAGCTTTGAAGTGCTGACAGAAAAATATGGCAAAGTCTGCTGTCTTGATTCTCCTTTTGCCCCTGGTGTAAGACATCTCTCTACCCTGCTTTTTATCAAACAGATAAGAATTTTCAATTCAGTGTTTTTCTGTCATTAACTCTTCTGCAGTGAGCTTAAGTGGGACACTTTGTGGTACTTTGAGCATTAAGTTGAAAAGATGTTAATCTGGGTTACTTTGGGAACCAGTAACTGCAACATAAACTCTCTCAAATAAGGCTGTTTTCTGGAGACAGCAGTGATTTAGGATTTAAGCTCTGGGTACACTACTGAAGCAACTGCTTCATGGGACAGCAGTGAAAATATTTTTGATTCCTTTCCTTTCTGCAGAACATGTTACTTCCAGAAAGCACAGGAAACTAAACTAGAATTTCTAGTGTTATGCTAAGGAACTTTCTGGCTTAAATGTATGAAGATAACTGACTGGTTAAGAAACAGCTTAGAAAAATACGGAGCGGATTTGGAAAATACAATAATTTTTTTTTCCTGTCTTGGCTGCTTTGGTACAGGACAGTGGCATGGTCAAAAATACCCTATTAAATATTTGGACTTGGAAGCCATGAAGGAGAAATGCTACTTTATCCTTTTTTTCAGGATGATCTTTGGAGAATTAGTTATTGTTCCTGTAGCTTTTTTAAACCGGGGTTCTGGCCTGCCTACCAAGATGGCTTTTGCACTGGAGACACTGAGCTGGCTTGCAACTTATAAATTTTCCTGGTACATCACAGATCAGGTATTTTCTTCGACTTTCTGTAAATCCCCAATGCATCCTGATTCTGGGCCTCTTGTCATTTGGTAAAGTATTGATAAGCCAAATTCAGCAGTTACTGCTTAAATATTAAAGTTCAACTAATCTGAAAATCCTGTACAGTATTCTGAATATTCTTAATGAGGATATTTTTTCCTCATGTGATTTACTGTGCTGATAAAATAGTGCTCTTTGTGAGCAATGAGTTGTGATTTGAATTCTCTGCCAGGGCCCTTTTTTGCTAAATCTCTGAAATTAAATAGCTGAAGAAAACAACTTAGGTTCTAGATCTTATTTTTTAAAAATATTGAGCTACCTGATTCCCACTGATATCAGCTGAGGCTAAAGGCCTGCAATTACAGTATTTTTCTAATTAGTTCTTTCATGGGGGTTTTAACGTAGTGTGCACCTTTGGATGCCATCAAGGTGTGAAAGATTTCCTGCCTGGCTGCTTTACCTTGGCACTCCTGAGTTGGTAAAAATGGAGAATGGAGATTTGTCAGCTAGAAAGATGTGCCCGAGGTCTACTCCCAACAGCAAATCTTCTGTTTGCAGACTGGCTTGTTAGGGAAGGAAGATCTGTAGATGTTACAGGGTAAAGCAGATGTTGATGGTTCTTGTAGAATCAATACTCAAATAAGGAAGGCACTAATAAGCTTATCTTCATGGAATTCTCCCAGCTCCCAAAGAATAAACTTAGTCTAGTCAGGAATCTTACCTACATGAAGGCTTCTCTTACCATTAACCAACAAACTAGTTGCCTGAGTCTAAGCAGAGAATATTGCTTTTCAGGAGGCTGCTGTGGTGTCACGGACAAGGAAAAGGATAACTTAGAACAGAGCTTGAAAAGAGAGTTGCCATGTAACAAGTCACTGTACCAAGAGTGGTCACACTCTGTGCTTGAAATAAGGATTTAATTTAAACTTAATGAGTTTGCTGCCTACTGGTTAGAACTAAATTGATTAGAAGTATGTTTTGTTTTAACAACTGTGCTGCAGGAGAAGCATTTATTACATAGCTGTTGAAGTGACTGTTTTCTTGATCATTTGATATGTCATGTCCAGTAATAAAAATGGATGTAACGCAATGCAGAATCCATCCTACTTAGGGCTCATAATTAAATGCTTTCAAAAAATGTTTATCAGAAGTCTCCACTGTGGCTTGTAGCTAATTTGATCATATGGTAAGATCTTTCTCATCTCACCTGTGTCTGCAGCAGATAAAATTGTGGGAGGGATATGTTGCTTAATTAACCCTGCAATTCTTATATTTGGGTTAATTAGCATCTAAATTAAGGTTTCTTATGTAGCATATGCTTGGTGCTGTAATTTATTCTACACAATTTATTCATCTGCTGCTAAGATATTTCTGCTTGCTTAAATACTTTGATTGTTTTCATATGAAATTATAAAATTTTTCCTCTGCCATATATGCAGCTCCTTGGGAAGCAGTTACATGACACATCACCCGCTCACCAGTATAACTGAGTGTTCAGAGACTTAATAAGATCCTGATTCCCCTTGATATGGACCTGAACAAACCTGGAATCCTGATTTGGTCACCCTAAAGGTTATGGGTGAATGAAGCCCCCCTGCAGTGGTGGTTGGTAGGATTTAAATGTACCCAAATGTTTTCTTGATTTGGATGCCTTGGTCTGGATACATTCAGCCATTCCAACCTGTCTCTACTTATTCATGAGGCATCACTTGATTTATGAAATGCAGAACATTTGACTGGAAAATGGCTGAATTCTTCAGAAACACCTATATTCATAATAAAGATGAGAAAAAATGAAAACATTAAAAAGTTGTTTCAGCTTTCTCATCATATTAGAGCAGGAAAGCTCCAGATTACAGTTTCTGACACTGAGACCATCACAGAGAGATCCAGCCTGTGACCTTCTTCACTCATGTACTCAGAGCTTCCCATCACCGCTCTGATGGATCACTTAGGGATGTCCAAGTTAAAAGGGTTACACAAAAATCCGAGTGAAGAATAGAATTGTGTTATGTCGTTTGAATTTCCAGGAAGAATCCTTGCTCAAAAGGGCAATAACAGTTTGCAAGCCCCTGCAGTGTGAATGTAGGGCCCAAGCACCTTCGACTCCATTGCTGTTAGTTGGATGGCTGTAAAGAATTCACTTGTTCATTGAAGCACAGAAAGTCGCTGGCTGATGTAAAGCCAGTCTGGATAAACTCTTTTATTCAAAGAACATGTAAATCAAATGTTTGTTGCAACTCTGAGAAGTACCTTTAAATATGGCTGGCCCACATACCTTGCAGTCTAGCTCTTCTTCAGTAGACACTGTAAAGAGTAGAAATTAAAACGTTAAGAATAAGCTGAGAAATGTGGGGTTTAATCTTTTCTCATTCCAAAACAACCTGTCAGTGTCAGACCCAACTTAACTGTGATGAACAATTTACCTGTAAAGGAAAAACCTTTGTCACAGAAGCTCCTTAAAACAGCTTATGAATTATTTCACAAGGAAAATAGCTGTTTTCAGAGAATGCTTCATAAACAGGAAGGCCAAATCTGTGTTCTGGATTTCCAGCAATGAGAAGGCACAGCAGTGGTTTTTATGAGTTACAGGATTTCATGCACAGAGGTCCATGACTAGAAGCCTCTACAGTCAGCTCTTAGGAGCTTACCATGATGATGTATAGTCTTCAAACCACAAATTAAATTGAGCTCAGTGTATTGTCATCTTGCGAGACAGATTTTTCTTTTGGCTTGTTCGTGCTGTAATAGTGCAAAAAAGCCCCAGAAAAACAAACCCCCCAAACAAACAACAAAAAACCTGACTGTGCAATTATACTGAAAAGTCTGAAACAGTGCTGATATGAAGTTAAAATTATTTCCTTATTGTATCTGTGAAAAATATCCCTTCCTAATGCATTATTCATTATGAACACATTAACTCTGGATGACATCAGACCAATTGAGAAGCAATTTGATGAAAGTATTGTGTAGGAAACCATGCGCTATTCCCCTTAACCACTGAAATGAAATAAGCTGGCAGATAAATATTCAACACCGGTATTTGATCCACTTTTCTGTAACTGATGAAAACCAAGCTGTGAAGCAGGTGAAAACTGAAATTAGTCTATTGTGCAGGAAATCTGTGCACAGTATGAAAATAGGTGTGCGTGTGTGTGTACGCACAGCACTACTGAAGTATTTACTGTTCTTGAGGCTGACGGAATTGCTTATTACTGCTGAGACTTTCTATTGTGAACAATTGAAGAGAAGGTCTTTGCCAAAATGTAACTTTTTGTACTGAATTTTCCATACCTGAAAATCTGCTTGAGTCTGGATTTTTGGTTTGTTTGGGGCTTGGTTTTTGGTTCGTTTGGGGTTTTCTGTTGTTTCTGGGGCTAAACTTGGCAACCTTATTGTTCTTGTCATGTAATACTGAGGAGAAATGCAGGGATGGGAGGACAGAAGAGGAAGGTGAGCAGGGAAAAAGAGCTAATTGAATAGTGTCTAGACCAAGTCATTGAATTGGTCATTCACACTTGGGGGAGATCCAAAACATGACCAATCTATTCTGAGTTGTGCACCTTAGTTCTGTCTTAGATTATATATGTCTGTTCAAGGGGGCTACAAAGCCACCTGAAATACGGAGCTAAATGTTCCTGCCAATATGAGGGAAATCCCAGATGGTGAACAGCTGGCTATGATGATGCCCCAGGTTTCACTTCCTTTTCAGAGAGATGCTAAAGGATTTTTACCAGCTGTTGTTACTGGGAGCAGCTGACAAAGTGGTTTTCAATGCATATTTTTGCCCTGAATATAGCTTAGTTGGATGCAAGGATCAGGTTAAACACCTCTCTCAGCATTTTTGTTGTAACTGTGAATCACAATATTTTCTATTTATTACAGAATGAGAAAACATAACATACGCTGTTGATTTCTGATATAGAAGTTACTATGTCAGAGCCTTAGCAGGGATAAATTGCATCAGGTTGCATCAGCATATGTGTGTCACTGCTTAAGTCAGATGAATTGGCTAAAGTGAAAAAGCCCCAGTGAAGGACAGTGGGATGCAGCTACATTTATACTTCATACAGCATATTGAGTATTTCTGCAGAAAGTGAGCTTTTTCCCACTGTGGTTCACCACTTTTTTGGAGTAGTTGCAGTGCAGTGACCAAGACTATTGGAAGTTACAAGCATAATTAGTTCCTCTGTCTTATGCACCTGGGAATCAGAGTATGGGGATAAATGATTCCCTTCAGCAGATTGAACAAATAATTTGTGATGATTAGCCAAAGAATTATCTTATGCCTGAAGCTTGAATTAGAAAAGCAGATTTTTTGGGGGGGGGGAAGTTCCTGTAAGGTTGAACCACAGGCAGTACTGTATCTGGTATTGAATGTTTGGGAAGATAAGAAGGTATAATGCTCTTTAAGGTTGACACTGGGTACTGTGGTTCTCTAGGGAGGGAGGAGTTTCTGAAGAGTGAGGAGAAATAACTAGAAAAGGCTGATAAATGATTTTAAAATGTTTAATGAACAGTTGCATCCTGCAGTATTTGGTAGCCTTTATAATGTTGTTGCAAAGCTGGAGTAAACACGAAAATTACTGTGCATATTATAAAAAGTGTGGACAGCACAGCAATGAAATACTGAAGTAACACAGCAGAGCTGGAATGAAAATGGTCACAAAAATCTGACCCTGTGCAAAACTCGCCCAGGAGGGAATAAGGAAACTGAAATCACTATTACTATGCAGAGTGCTGCCTTATCACACACAGCAGTCGGTAGAATTCTGTCAGGATTTTCGTGTCTTGTTTCCAATATGAGATTTGTCATTCAGAGCAGACAGCATTAAATGGCACCTTTGTTTTCTACTGAGTGAGGATATGCACCCCTGAGCATCAGTTTAGCCCTAGAACTTTCGGATAAAATGAAAGGCAACGTACAAGGAACTGACTTGTTTTCTAAGAATAAGAGTGAAATATCTACAGATCTGGTCATAATGCCAGGGTGGAAAAGTAAATGAAAGAACTGTAAATCTTCTGGCACTCATGTCTCTTTGCTGTGTGATTACTGTGATTTGCTGGGTATTCAGCATATTTAGAAGACTCAGATGAGGTGGTCAGTGCTGGGTTCAGGTATTTAGGTATTACCCAAGGACAGCTTTGATCTGCTGACAATTCTTCTGTACTGAACTGGTGGCTGTAGAAAGATTTGTGATGAATCCTCAGAGTGGAAGCTAAATACACACAATATAAGTGTTTCTCTTGATCACTTTTTAATCCATTTGTTAATTAAACTGATACAATGTCCTTGCACCTGACTTGTAGCTGTGCATTGCAAAATGATGGCCAGGTAGATTCCAGCAATGGCAATGAGCTGTTCAGGCATGCCAAAATACTTCTTTATAGATATCAGTAGGATGGCTTATCCACTGGGATTTTGTTTCCTCTAGCTTTTATTTCCATAGCTTTCTGAATATAAATGTGTAAAAAGAGTTTGAAGAAAAGATGCAGAGATTTTAACAGGACAATATGCCATTCACATTTGAAACAACTGTAGGTGACTCCAAATGGTACAGAACTAAAGAACTGGCCAAGCCTTGCCTAACAACCCAGTAATATAAAATTGATTACTGAAGTTGGTGCCATTGTTTTGGCGTAGCTTAGAGAATTACCACTTTTTAAGTAATACTTGTCAAGAAATGAGTGTCACTGGTTTAAAATGTACAAGATAACATTGTTATCTTGCAGTGAAACTATTGAGAAAA